CCCCCACAGACCTGCAACAGCTCCCAGCTCCCCAAACTCGGACCTTCCCCAGCCAGGCCCCAGAGGCTGGGGCTCTGCCTCCCTGGCGCCTCCCTTCTGTGCTTGCTGGGGGGACCGATTCCAGTCCCTCCCCTGTGCTTGCTTCGCTTTGTGCTCCAAGTGGGAATCCCTCTGCCAGGGACCCCGCTCCTCCTCCTCCTCTCCCATCATCTCCCTACTGGCTCCTCACTGTGCCCTCTGGGGGGCCAGGAGTGAGAGCCAAATTGGCCTCTCTCTGGCTCCCCAAGACCCGGCCAAAAGCCAGGTGGCACTGCCAACCCGCCTCCGCAGGGCAGGCTGGTGTCCACAGGCCGGGGGCGCTGGCTGGACGGTCAGGCCTCAGGGACCTTCAGACATCTCACCAGGGTCACCAGAGCCCCACTGAAAAACTACATCCCACCCTTTCCCAGAAAACCCTCAAATCACAAAGAAGACGCCCGAAGGTCAAGTCACCCCACCTTCGGGTCCCAGTTGTCTTCACTGCTCCCTGTCAAGTCCCTCTGACTCTCCCATTCTCCCCCAAACCAGACCCTTCCCCAACCTGCGGGCCACAAAACCTGGTTTTCTAGGTCCCTCGTTCTTGCCCGCCCCACCCCCCTTAAATAAGTTAACGCCATTTAAAGTGCTAAATCAGGAAACTAAAAGTACCAAATACCCGTCCGGGGCACCCTCTCCCAAGGCAGTGTCCCTGATGTCCAGCTGTCCTTGTGACCCACCCTTCACAGCCAGCAGTCCAAAGGGCCTCTGTCCTCCACTCCCCACAGGGCGGCGAGACCCAGGAGGCCAGCACCTCCGCAGGGACACAGACTCCATGACTGACCTCACACCCACCCTGAGGCCTCTCAAGCTCCAGCCCCTCCTCCAGCCCGTCCGTCTCAACTTCAGGACCATCAGGGTGTGAGTAGGAGGGCACAGAGCAGCCACAGAGGTCACAGTCTTGTCCGAGCTGGGACAGAGTGGGGCGTCTCCAAGGCCAGTCTCCCTGCGCCCCGCTCTCCGGCCTGATGTAGGGGTTGGTCCGATGTCCCCGAGTTCCTCCAGGTAGGTACCAAGAAAGGGGAGAGGGTCTCCCACTGCTCCTAGTCTCCGTGGCTCAGAGTTTGTTTGGAGTATTCTTGGGAAGTGAGGGGAAGGCAGGAAGGGGTGCAGGAGCTTCAGGATGGACTCGGAGCGGGGACAGTGGTGAAAGAAGAGGGAGAGACGTGACAGGTGCAGCCAATGAGAGGCCAGCTGGGAACCATCAAGGAAGGTGGTGTGTTTGGTTTTTAGTTTTACTGTTTAAAAAAAGATAATTAAAAGTGAACCGTTAAAAAAAAAACCAAAAACACCAACAGAGGATGGTAGAGGGAGCTGGGGAGGGCTGCCCCTCCTCTGCAGGGCACACCCCTGGGGGTCTGGAGAGTGGGGTGGGGCTGAGATGAAGGGAAGAGAGGGGAGAAATGGCAGGAGGAAGGGAGGGGGACAGGCGGGGTGGTGGGTGAGGGGCTTCTAGAAGGAGATGGAAGAATTCCTTGCCCCAAAGGAAGTCAATACGGGGATAGAGGTTCTGGAAGCCGAGGGCTTTTCTGAGACTGGGCTCGAGGTCTCATTCGACCCGCTCATCTCTTTAGATGGTTTAGTGGCCTGGAACAAAAACAGGGGTCAGGGGTCAGAGAGCGGAAGGGAGAGCCTCCATGCTGGCCCCTAGCTGAAGTTTTAAAAGGGGAAAACCTCCACAAATCCAAGGAAATTAACTGCAAAAGGAAGAAGCCAGAGGGGCATCTGGAGAGAGGAGTCCCCTGAATGGGGAGGGGCAGGGACAGAAACGGGGTGTGGGGAGGGAGCAAGAGGTGGGACAAAGGGCCTGCGTGGGCGGTCAGAGCCGGAGGGCAGCCCCACAGTTACTGAGAGCAGAGAGAGAAGCACAGGAGAGGCCGCGCCCAAGCCAGCAGAGGGGAGACGGGTGGGGGAGGGCAGAGAGGGGAGGAAGAAGAAGTGAAACGTTAGCTGCCACAGGGACACCCGGCCTTCAGGGGAGGGGGGCAGGGTGGGGAAAGGCTCCTAGTCCCAACTGGCCTGCCGCACAGCCAAGGCCCCTTCCAACCTCATCCTGGTGGCAACAGAGGAGGGGGCTTATCCTCCCAGTCGGGAATAAACACGTCAAAGACCCCCTCCCCAACCACATGGAAATCTGGGAAGCTGCTACCACACAGCCTCCGCCCAGCGCAGCAAGCCCCACTGCAACCCCGCAAGCACTCCTGGTCACCCCAGTTGGTCACGGAGGCTGCTCCCTCATGACTCGCCTGCCCTCACTGGTCAGCTCTGGTGGTCAGAACTGGCCCGTCAGCCTCCCCCGCCACCTTCGGTGGACCCCTACATCAGGCCATGTCTCCACCAGTCCCGGAGGCTCAGCCTCTGGAGCTTCGGTCTCCAAAGTATGGTTTGAGAGCTACGTGCATCACCTCATCACCTCCAAGGGACAGACCCCCTGTGGCATGCGTCGTGAATGCATATTCCTGGGCTTCCCTCCAGAATCGTCTCTTGTGTGGGCTCCTGAATGTGCATTTTCAAAGCAGGCACCCATGTGATTCTGCTGCACACTTACCTTTGAGGTCCACTGGGTTGGGGCTACACAGACCTGGTCTCTCCCGGTAATTATATTCACTGTCCCTCCTGGCCTTGCTTAGCTACTACTGTGAGAACCGAACCACCCTGATTTAAAAAAAGATCCAAAAGATGAGACAGGGTGCTGTGGCGAGTCACCAGAGACCACCCTGAGGTTAGGTCTGGGCAGGGTGGTTCACTTCTGTATGATTACCCTGCTGCCAGGGGGTTCTCTCAGTGGCCTTGCAGCAGAGAAGGCAGCAGCTAAGGCAAGCCCTGCCTCCAGCAGCCTGCCCGGCTCACGGTGAAGAACCGACCCTGGCTGCGATCACCATTTCTTCTTCCACAGGTGCGCAAATGGCTGGTTCTGAGATTCACCTGGGTTTTGCTCGCCACAGTGTAGTTTGCCGTCTACATTTCCCTTTTATGCAAATCAAAACAAGGGCCGGGTGTGATGGCTCACACCTGTAATCCCTGCGCTTTAGGAAGCCGAGGCAGGAGGATTGCTTGAGCCCAGGAAGTCAAGACCAGCCTGGACAGTATGGTGAGACCTTGTCTCTACTAAAAA